AACGTACAAATGAAAACAGGCGCATATTACAAGAATTGTATTATGACAGAAAATAGCATGGCAGATGTTCATATTATTTGTTTATATTAGTACTCCACTCTGCAGTTCTGTTCTATGGCAGCTGCTGACATGACTGCAGCAGATAATCACTATTTCACAGCCTTTAAATGTGTGTTTAAAAAGTAATGCGATTGATCAGCATTGAGCTGTGATTTTAAACCCACTATGAGTCTGCAGTGTACACATTTGTAGGGATAATATCTGATATGATGCAGAAAATGGTATATTGACAAGTGAAATTATGAAATTAAGTCTAGTCTATAAATAAATAAATAAACATCTCATATGAAGAGTCTTTTAAGCTCATTACAAGATTATGTAGTTATTGTTACGCATTTTAAGTAATTTCTCAAGTACAATTCTCTCATTATATTGGCAGATATTTGTGCCTGTTTCTGTCAGTGATATGATTTTACTCAATAAGCTTATTGAAAACATGTAAAACGTGCCTAGAAATAAGTTCATACCAAGTTGCCACTGGTATGAAAAGTTTTTGCAGTGTGGCTGTTTCTACGTTGTTAGCCTAGCTAAGTTAGCATCACAGGCCCGCATCACTACCTACAGTATCATGGCTGAAGTCACTCAAAGAAATTTGTTGATAATATTTATGTTTTCCACATCGTGCTTGCTGTATAGCAAGTTACAGAAAGTGTAGTCTGCCGTATCGAGCTATGTCAATAAAGTCAATCTACTCATGGACAGAAAAATATTTCATATGGTTTTAGTTATGTTTGTAAATATGCCCCAAAATCTGTAACGCAAGAAAGTGAGTTCAAGATATATTTTGAATCACTTTACTTAAATATTCAAGGCCAAGATTATGGCACCTTTACTTTTTTCTAATAGTGCACAATTCTTTTTTAAGTGTTGTTTTTTTTTTTTGTTTTTATGTCACAGATTTGTATTTTTTTTTTAATTTAGAACATAATCTATCATTGCAATACAAAAAACAAAACCATGGTGTAGATGTCATTTTTGGCAACCCAGTCTTTGCTGAAAGGAAGACATTATATTACAGAAAATAATGGACATTAGTACACAGAAAAGGTGGTCATTCAAGTTGTGAGTGTGTGTCTGAGTTGCAGTGTATGGGTTTATCAACTGGAGACGGGGAGAAAAAGTTCAGTTCTGCTCTGTATCCATTTATATTACTCTGCTATTGTTTTCTGCCTTGGTTGCTCTTGTTTAATAAACTAAAATATGGACACGAAGTATTTTTTATTTAACTTGTTATCACCACACAACAATAAAAAAAACACTGTAACAGGAAAATTAAAAACTATGAATATGAATATGAAGATGACTTCAGTTTCGTTAAAGGCAGCAAGTCTTTTCTGAGCAGAGGGCTTTTGTTTTCGGGATAACAGGCTTAGGCTTGGCTGATATACATAGTCAGCCATCAAACCCAGGCCCTTCTTGCTGTGAGGCAACAGCGCTACCCACTGCGCCACCGTGCCGCCCCAACATGCAACATGCAACATGCAACTCTCAAATATTTTGGATTTGGACTGCAGTACTCATTTTAAATGCTTGCTGTCAGGATTACATATTGTTTACATATAAGACTCTTTGAGCTCCTACCTGCCAGAGCAGCAGTAGAAACTGAATAATTAACCAGTAAAGAGAAACAGCAGTTAATTCTGCTTATTTTGGTGCAAGTATGAGCCGCAGATTCTTCCCCTTCACAAATGCTGAACTGGTTATGTGGTGAATTTTTAATGAAGTTACACAGAACAATGCTGTTCTGAGGCTCCACCCACTTTTGTTTTATTGGCAACAACAGACAGAAACTTTACTTTTATTTGTGCTGTATAGCTGGTCAGCAGGAAGTTAGGTAAAGATTTCTACTAAAAGAAACTGAGATGAGTCCAAACTACAAATGCAACAGCATGAAAGACATCTGGCTTCAGAAATACAATACGTGGAAAACTGTTAGTGCACCTGAAGAGCCGTATTACAGAAACCTCCTATCTTTTTGTCTTAAGAGTTTTCACAAATTCATATTACAGAAGCAAATCTGATCTTAATTTAGGAATCTTATTTTATCTTACAGCATCTTATCTCCAGTTAGGAAATCTAAACCTACTCGATCAAAGTCAACAATGAACTGTCATGTCCGTTACATAGCAACTGACCATTCCAACACAGCTGAAATGTAAACACGTCATCAAAATAATCAAGCTAGTTAGTCAGACAGCTGCCTACTGTTACTACCTACTGTAAAAGAAGGTCAAGTGTGATAAACTGTGAGTTGTGAATACTGTGAGAGCGCCCCCTGCTGTTTATCAGAGCATCGCCGCTCCCCAGTTTCAGTCTCCATTTCCCAAACGCTTTAGCCGAGCGCGCTAACGTTACTCCTCCTAATAAACAGACACACGTTCAGCTCCGTCTCCTCATTATTCACCACCATCACTGTAATATTTCATCATCAACATTAACACACGAAGGTGATCAGAGGGCGGTGGAGATCGAGTCTGCAGCGTCTGAGATCTTTAAAACGCAGAGTTAGAAAAGAAAATCATCTCACAGTGAAAGCAGCGTTTTACAGTAGAAATAAATGGAGCTCATTATGCTGGTAGTGAACTATGCTGCTGACTCAGCTGCCTAAAAACCATAGAAACGGACCTTAAACAGAAGTGAGGACCCTGTTGGGGTTCATCCTAAAGTTAGGACAGGATTTAGGAGGTTTAGTCTAGTTAGGATGTTTGTGTGATGCTGTTTTCTTATCTGGAGTTAATGATGATTATGAGGTTAGGAACTGTTATTCTGGAACAGCTACTGTCCGGAATTCAGTCCTTACTGAAGTCGTCACAGTGACAAAGCAGATAAGATAAGATTTCAGACTAAAGACGTTTCTTTAATATGGCCCCCGGACCCTAAATCAGTCTTCTCTCCTGGACTCTCTCCTCTTTAGACTGTTCTAACTCATGTTCAGTGAGCAGTTGAATGTTTGTTGAGATTTCTGGGTTTAGTGCTAGACAAACAAAACGCTGCACTCAGAAATGCAGTATGTGATATTTCTGTCAGACGTTACTGTAGCAGAGCAGAGTTCACATTTTTCCATTGAAATTTTCTCAGTACATTAAAAAAAGTGATTTTTCTGGCACGACTTAGCAGCTTCTTACTTTTGTACGCCCCAGCTTGTGGCTCCTCGATCAGTTCTCTCATACCTTATGTTCCACAGAACAGGGTTGAATGGGAGGCGATGCCCAGGAGGCTGCGCTGCACTAATAACTCCTTAAATGGCCAGTAGAAATCAGGCTTCTATTCTTTGCTACTATAACTTAACTGCACACTGGATGTGCAATATAGCATTGCATAGCAGATGCAGTGAAGTGCAGCTATACTACATAGAAAAGAGACTCAATAAACATCAAGTTGCACACTGAATAAATTTAATCAAATAAAACTTAACATCGTTTACGAATTTACTTCCTTTGTTATCAGCTAGCTAACCACTCACAAGCTCACTGTTTTGAGCTGAAATGTACGAAGAGAAAGGCTGACAGACCATTAGCATTTGTCCGTATGAGAGGCAGAGTGAAGCGCCAGTGAAACAGAGCTAGTGTGTCACTGAGTGGCACACATCGAGGCTGGTGCGTGCACCTTCATCTTTTTTATGTGGCGCAGCACATACAGTGTGCAATGGCCTCCCAGATAGCAAGAAAGCATTGAATCAATGTTAAATCAACATTAAAGGATCAGTGTTAAATTAACTGAATCAACATTCTAATCTGATGTTGTTGTTTAATAACTTTTGCACCCTGAATTAATATTGAAACAACACTGAAAACTCTTTTAACAACATTGAAACTGCAGTACACCATCAACGTGATCTACAGCTGTAATGGGGTGGCCACCCCACACCGGAAGACAAGAGTATATTAGGTGAGCCAATGGCTGATTTGGGCCCAGATGTGGACTGCTGACCCCAGCAATAAAAAAAACTCAAAAGATACCTTTTTACTCTTTATTTATTTATTTATTTATTTGTTATTTTAATACTCACACTATACTCACAGGCAGAAGACTCAATAGTTCATTTAAAAACCGAGGGTACACCAGAGATTAGAATCAAAAAGAGTTGTGTTTTTTTTTTGTTGTGTTTTTGTTTTTTTAAACTAAATAGAGAGAAACACCAGCTTACAGCATAGCAGGCTCAAAACTGAGCAGAGGGTGCAGGGAGAAGTCTCCTTAAGCAGAGCTCACACAGGTGGTGCCAATTGCCAAATGACTGTCTATGAGGCTTTCTGCCTCCCTCTGGTGGCAGGGTCCGCCTGACAACACTACCTCGTGCTCAGAAATAAGTGCTGTGTTGGTGCTGCACTGTCCTGTCTGTTTACTGTGCCTAATGTCTGTTTAATTTATTGTATTTATTGTATTGTTTCTAGCTTAATTTTTTTGTTTGCACACTGTCTGCACGTTCGCACTTTGTACTTTTTGTTCCTTGTTGCACCGTGTTGTTCCTGGAGGAACGTAATTTCACTCCACTGTGTACTTGTACATAGATGGAATGACAATAAAAGCCTCTTGACTTGACTTGAACAGCAAGATCTAATTGAATTTCTTTGGTCTAATACAAAGAACAAAAAATCATGAATTTCAGATCAAATGTTTGTTTGAGATTTATTAGATAAAAAGATAACAGAACATTTTAAAAAGACATTTTTCATTGAGAAAAAAAAAATAATCACTCAAACTCTCAGTAATGCACTAACATCAAACAACCAGCTTACAACATTCGATCTACTTTCTGTGCATCATTAGATCTGAGTGCTGAGAATATGAAACCAAGAAATCAGACTGTGTTCTTAATACATATTGCATAATATTATGTCACATGATATGTTGTGTTGTGTTGTATAAGCTGTGATATTTATGTGTATATATATATATATATATATATATATATATATATATATATTTCTCTTTGTCTCTGTTAGAGTTCTCAATGCAGTTCAATGCAGTTTTATTTGTGTGCTTCCCTGATTTTCCAAAAGTCATATTTCAAAACTTTAGCCAACAAAAAAATGCAAAATCAATCTACATTACATGAAATTTCATCAGTTATAAAGTACATGCAAAGCCTTTAAAATGGTTACAGTTCTGTAAATAATCAATTAATAGCACATATGACAGAGAGTATGGCAAATATTAACAAAGTGCCATGTCTAATAATTAAGATAATGATATATAAAAAGATGAGAATACCCATCACAGAGAATACAGATCATTTTTTTAGATTCATTTAAGTTCTCGTTCACAAGAGCCATTGGTCAGATATAAGTCTTCAAATTACTTTTTAGTATCATCAAGTCTCACTTTCGTCTGTACCTGAAAACACAATTGAAATTACTTCATTTCAAAATTTCTGCCACATTATGAGTGTATATTACATCTATTTTGCAAGACCATTAATTCTGTTAAACAGGAATTCATACTATATTGAGCACTCACAAACTCTGACATCAGCACTAGCTCAGTCGTGGCAGTATTTACTGTACACCACATACTGCACCAGTATATAATCACATAATGGATCTCAAAACCATTGATGTAACTCTGTTAGAGATAAGAATGAGGGTCTGCTGGGGGGAAACAACAGTGTGATGTACACTGTAAAAAGTAGTTTGTTCATTCAACCTTAAAAATGCCTTCATAATTTAGAAAACAAATGAACTGGGTTTATTCAACTCTAATAAATACTTCAAATACTTCAATTATTTGAAGAAATCAATCAGAATGGTGCTGTGTGTACATACATGTATGCCCAATTGTTATATTGTTTGTAAATTGGATTTTATCTCGAGTAACTTCTTTGGATTTGAGCAAAATATTTTTAGATTTTTGTATATAATACCTGTAGAAATCTGTAAAATTGGCGAGGAATGACAGAGCAAATTTTCCTGCATAGTCTTAGTAACGCTTTCGTATATTAAATGATTATAATAGACAAAATAATAATAATTCTATAATTTTAAAAACACTACACTTTTAAAAAATATGAGAACAAAATTGAGCATTTCAAAAAGTGGTAATGTCCCCAGTATAAATGATAGATGTGTTTGCTTTGTATCTACCCTACTGCCATGCAATAGTGCTACTATCAAGCTCTACATTATCAAGTGGTATAACTGTAGAGCATAATGACCACTACACTTACAGCCATAGAGGAGTGTGGACCACGGCCTAATCTGGGGTAAAATGTACAGTGGTAGCGTTCATGTGTTTCCCTTTCATTTCCAACATGTATAAGCATGTGACCACTCGTAAAGACTGACATTTTCTCTTAGAGAAAGAAACCTACTAAGGATCTCAAGATATATACAGGTACAGTGTGCAATGGATAATTGAAGCAACTAAGTAAATCTGTTACTTTTCTTTTACAAAAAGACTTACTGGAAGCTGATGAATACTTCCCCTGAGATGAAGCTATAGAAGGAGACAAGAGTGATCATGATCAGAGAGATTCATCAAAGAAAACATTAGAGGAACTGTCTAGTATTTCATCTCCTACCAAATTTAGTGCTATGATAAATTTTGCCTTCTTTTAGTGCAGAGCTATAAAAACTGCTGAACCACTTTCTTCTAACCTGTTCGTTTTCTCCTGTATACTATCCAGATGACGGCCACCATCACACTCACCAAGACCAGAACAGCCACCACAGAGCTAATGATGGGCCCGATGGGCTCCCCTGGATCAAAATCTGAAACACAATTTAAGAAAGTGATAAAAAGCTCAGAGTCAGCTGAGGAATTTTCTGTGTCACTCTGAGATTCAGTACCCAAATGGATGTCCAGCTTGTTGTCCAGGCTGAGGTGGGTGACTGTACAAGTGTAATTTTGTCTCTTCAGCTCCTCTTCACTGAGCTCCAGGCTTTTCCTCATCTGGTAGGTTCCGTCTCCGTTGGGCAGCAGGTCTCCTCCGGTGGTCAGGTGATCAGGAACTGGCTGTCCGTCTCTGAAGATGGTCAGGTTGATGTGACGGGGGTAGAAACCAGTGGCCAGGCAGGTCACCCCATCCCACCCACACACTGAGCGTCTTTTCTGGATGAGCCTCACTCTGGGCTTCACTGCAGAAAGAGACATGAATCCCACATCAGAGAGAATATCATGTTTGGATATTTAGCTTTTCCGATGGAAGATGGAAGATGGAATCAGCCAAGAGATGTTTGGTGTCCAAAGATTGCTTATTTGATTTTGTGTCAGAGTTAATGTAGCTAAGAAGCAGTTAGCATAGTGCTAACTGCTAAGTCCCTAAGTCATCACACTTTTGCCTCAAACTGTGTCAAATTGTTAAGTAATCTGTAATAGACTTGCTAATTTGGGTTTATGTAGAACAGAATGGTTGAAGGTAGTGAAACCTTGAATGTAAAGGGGTTATTTTTGTTGTTTGGTTGTTTAAAGAGTGGCTGCTATGGTATTCCATTTGGGCAAGGATGTTGCTAGTTGATGCCTTCAGCCCTGTCCTGTGGAGGTTGTTGATGATGTCACTGACTGCTGTTTTTGGGTTTTTCTTCACAGCTCTCACTGTGATTCAGTCATCAACTGCTTCTGACCAGTTTGATGTCTGATTGTTAGTACCAGTGGTTTCTTTCTTTTTCAGGACATTCCAAATTGTTGTACTGGCTGTGACCAATGCTTATGCAATGGCACTGGTTGATTTTTCCTCCTTTCTCAGCTTCAAAATGGTTTGCCCCCACCCCCCCACCCAACCTAACTACAAATCACAGGCCAACCGCAGGGCTCAAACCAAAAGTAGACATTCAGAGCTGTAGATTGTTTAAACATCCAATCTAACAGGGCACAGCTGGGCAACAAGAAACACCTGTTGGTCACTATTTTTGCTCATTTAAAAATTGGGTGTTAAAACAAAACATGCCATATAAGTAATTAAACACTTCAAGATATAAACATAAGGAAATAAAAGCTGCAATAATGATCATCTCAAATTCATCTTTTGATTTCAAACCCGATTGTCATCAATGTATAGCAAAAACAATAGAATTGGTCTTGCTGTATAGCTATTTTTTAACTAAATAACTATTTTTGTTAATTAGTTAGAAATGTTTTAGTTTTTTAATTGTTTTCATTTCAATAGCTATTTATTTATTTAATGTCCTTCATGAATGTTTATAAGTTCAAGCCAAATCACACAAACATCTGGAATGTGTGAGATTTGGCCTGAGCTTGCAGCATATTCATAAAGTACTCTAACAGAAAAAAAATGCTATACAAATATAAACATCTTTCAATTCCAGACGTGCAGAAAACCATTTTGAAAATCTTACCTCTCCTTTTCACTTGATTGCTTCTCTTGTTCAGGTAACCTCTGAGTGTTTTAATGCACAGTGGGTAGTAGATATTTTCATGACGCCACTGAGTTAAGGTCAAAAATGATCCCAGTGTTCCTTCTGTGAGATTTAAATCATTTTTATATGTAATTTTGTGTTCATAAAAACATAGTTCATCTCGCGTGGTGCCTTCGAGTGCATTCTTGATAATAAGTGGTCCAGGCTGGTCATTGTCCATCAATTCACACATCACCAGCCTCTGTTGAACTTGAATGCCTTAAACAGAAATAAAGAAGAGTGTTAACTGCCATCTTTCATTACATGGTTGATCTTAGCTTATTACAACAATATGGAAAGCCAATTAAAAGTCATAAAATTCCTTAATCTGCAGGTTTATTATTCAGTTTGCAGATTCTGACCATGTCTTAAACATATATTTGTACTGTGCAAAGAGATTTTATAACTGAAAGACAGGAGAGAACTCTGTATAGGAGTTCTGGATAACTTTGACAAGCAGAAGTGGGGTTGAAGATACAGCTAAGGAAAAATAACAAGCACTGCCCTCCCACTTGGCAACTACACCACACACCAGATTCTCATTGCTAAGATTACTGTCACAGGAAACGTAGAAAAGAAGCCTGAATAGAGCATTTTCTTCCATCAAGTAGTTCAATATAGCTCAGGTTTAGTGCATGGAGCAGATAATGGACATGTCGTACAAAAAGTGGTGCAAAAACTTGTTATGGGAAACAGCAGGTAGAGATGTTCTGCTATGAATTATTCACTACCTTAATTCATTTATTCAGTATCTACTCTAAATTCAATATCTACTCAGAATTATTCAATATTCCAATTTAATTTTGATTGTGTTCCCTTGAGGTTGTTTCTACGACAGTGTTTTAGGGCCACTGTTAATAAAAATAGTAGACTTTGAGAATAAAGTCGTAATAGTTCGAGAAAAAAGTCGTCATATTTTGAGAAAAAAACTCGAAATATTTTGAGAAAAAAGTCGTAATATGTCAAGAAAAAAAGTCGTAGAATTTTGACATTAAAGTGGCATTAATACCAGGAAAGTTCCTCCTCATGTTAAATGAGGGGTGGTGAGTTGGTGGAGTTCAACCGAGACCCCGACGCGTTATGGCTGCCCCCCTACAGTACAGCAACCGACACCCCAACGCATTATGGCAGCCCCCCTACAGTTAGACCCCCTACGGTTAGCCCACTTTATCCTCCAAATATAAGACTTTATTCTCGAAATATTACGACTTTTTTCTTGAAATAGTACGACTTTTTTCTCAGAGTCTACTATTTTTATTTTTATTAACAGTGGCTCTAAAGCTCTGTCATAGTTTTCTGCTCAAAAATGTACTCAAACTGAAAAAACAATAAAACACTTAACTGCGTTGTTTTCTTTGTCTGTATAGTTTGCTTGATTGCATGTAAATGCTTTATTATTATTTTACCTACATTTTCCTGCAAAAAGAATTTCACTCACTTTCAGTATAATTTAACACATGTTTTAAATATAAATGTCTCTGTTTGAAGTCAGTATGCATGAAGGAACTTATGATCTTGATCTTCTCTGGGTCAATCACACCATCATCTTCCTGGTCTTTAAGACCTCGGGGAACAAGGGTGTTCATCTCAGAATCAAAGTATCCAACTGTGAGATCATCCAACATCAAGGTCATACTAAGTTCTGGAAATGGAGTCTCTCCTTCAATGTAAGTTGTAACCGCAGCCAAAGAGTGAGAACCTGTAAGAGAGAAAGAGAAAGAATTGAGAAAAAAGATGAACGGAAATCAGTGTTTATCAAACGGCCTTTGTTTGCTGTAATTCTTGAGCAGTGGTCTTTATTTATGATACCTGCTTAATTTCAAATGTACTAACTTTAAACTTTATAGAACATTCTAACATACTTAGGATTGTCATCATAGAGGTCAAAAAGGTCAAAAATCATGACTAATGGTAAAATTTTCTGACATAGTTGTATTTGCCAAGTGGGTTGATTCACCAAGTTTAATCCATTGGTCAGCATGCCATAATAAGGCCCAAAGCACCCATAAGGGGCCATTTTGCCATGCAGGAGCTAAATGAAAGTGAATTTGCCAAAAGGTCTCAATATGTTATGATTATTGATCAGCAAAGATGTTATCCGAGTTTTGTTCAGACTGACCTTTTGACCTTTGTATACTAAGCTGTACTCTTTGAATAAATTAGCAAAATACCAGGCAAGTCCAATTTATGACACAACATGTAATTACAAAGTTATTCAGGTCAGAGAACAAAATCACATAACACTATTTTTTCTGTAGACTTCATAATAACAATGTAATAGCATTTTTTATGATTTTAAGTGTTTTTAGCCCTAAAGTGCCCAAAAGTGGCCAATCTGGACCTAAATTTGCACACATCATCAGAGTCCCAATGCATACATGTGATTTAAATTATGAGATGACCAGACCAACTGCTAATACGTTATAACAATTTAAGTTATAAATGCCATGGCCACAATGATTAATTCATAGAGGAAGACCATAGTTAGCAAAGAAATCAATATTTTTTTGCTAATTGTTTACCTTAGATAAAAACCCCAAAGGGCTTTTTATGCTGCATGTTTTTAGACAATTTATTGATGGTGAGTAATAAGGAACCAAGCACCATTTTAGGAACTAATACCCAACTTATGATTAATGAGTAGTATAATTTTAAATGAATTCAGAATACAGAACACAGAACACAGACCTACATTTCTTATGATCTAGATGCTTAAGTGATATATGCACTAAGGCTTATCAATCCATCCGTTATGCCTGAAGGTGAAATATAGATAATTCTGTGTCATTAAATTCGGTTATATCTATGTTTTTAATGATTATTTATCTTTGTACTCCATAGATTGTTTTTAGAACAATTTTGAGATAATTTGATAAAAACTCAATGAATAGTAAGAAAACACTGATTTTCAAACTTGTATCCATTGCGGAACAACTGTAATTTTTTTTAAAAAAACTTGAACTACTAACACAGTTAGATGTTTGTTTCCTTCTATGTTTTGAAGTACACATTTTGCAATTACTGTTGGAGCTCCCTCTAGTGACTGGACAAAATATTGCAATATTTTGGGAATGTAATGGATTGAAGGAGTTAAATCAACTTGCTGGACTTTCTGTGTAATTTAGGAAAGTAAATGTATATGCAGAGTTTTAAGTCTTTATGAGGTGTTCTTTGGATCCATTATTGTTTTCTTACTTTAATCCTGGAGATGTAATGGTATTGGCACTTAAATGAAAAGCAATCTGGTTTGCATCAGTCTTAGCTGGCCCCACAGTGGTCAATCAAGTGCCAACAGTCTAAAATACCATTATATCTCTAAGATTAAAGTAAGAAAACACGATACATGGAAAGACCAACATTAAATGTTTGTATTTGTTAAACTATGTGCGATCTCACAAAAACCCTTGATTCATTTTGAAAATGTTTTGAACAGCTAAGTTGTCATTTTTTATCATCACTTTTAATCAGCTCTTGACTTCTACTCAATGCAAGTATGAAGCTGAATATTTAAAGCTAAAAAAGCCAAATAACTGTAATCAGGGATGGCGACTTCTCAGGGGGCAAAAAGTGCCTTTCTCAGATCTTCATGATCAATCTCTGTGAATTGTCTGGTAAATGATGTCAAAAACTGTTTATCCAGTAACTTAAGAACTAAAAGAGCACAAACATTTCTTTTAACAGCTATACACAGCACAAACGCAGCACAAATGAATGTGACCGTTTTGGCAGGATTTGGACTATGATTGGGGGGCTGAGTGACATCACAGGTAATGAAATATAATGTTTAATTTCTTAAAAACGCTGCCAGCACAACCAGTGATTCATATGGCACAAAGCAGCACAAATGCAGCACAAACAAATAGTAGTATTTTTGTTCCATTTCTGACCACATGGGGGCCAGCTTCACAGAGGTCTTTGACAACAGATTAATACAGTAAAGCTTAGGAGTGGTGGTATATTTTAAACATGTGCAGTTACTGCAGAAAAATATAACGCCTGATTCTTTGATCATGATTTGTTCAAATCAAATTACAGGATTTTCTGTATTACGATTTAACAACGTTCAAATGTTTGCAAAATTTTAAAGCTCATTAAGATGTGTGAACAATTTTGAAACAGTTTTAGTTTGTTGGCAGTACACTGAGCATTGTAAGAGCCGACTTAAGCCGATTTAAGCCCATTTTCAGATATTTCCTCAGCTGATTATTTTGAAAGTACATATAAAATTTGGTCAGAATTGGAGCATCACTGATTATCTACTTGGTTAAATGGTGATGTGCATTTGAAAAGAGTGCAGACAGGCAGAGTATAAATAGAAACGGTCTCAGCTTCAGGTTCATTATCTGTACACGAAAGATTTGTTTGTAATGTACAACAAAAATTATTTTAATGATTTATTTACAGCTAATAAGCATAATCAAGGTCTTTGTTCTCTACTATCGAGTCTCTTATCAATGGTGTTAAGCTGAACCCTCATGTTTCTAACATTGGGTGTGAACAGTTTTTAAGGATAAGATTACTGATATTAGAGAACATTCAATTTCCGTCTACATGCATGGAGATTCCTCCTTCTAGCTCTAATAGAGATGTTTTGAATCAGTTTACTCCAATCACTTTGGATGAGTTAATTGAGCACTTGCAACCCTCATCTAGTCCCTATGATGTTCCTCCTCCCAGGTTTCTTAAAAAAGTTTTAGAATCTGTTGGTCCTCATCTGCAAGCAATAGTGACTCTTTATCTTACCTCTGGGTGTGTTCCTGATTGTTTTAAAGTTGCCAGTGTGCAGACACTTCTTAAGAAACCGGGCCTTGACCCTAATGACTGTTCAATTTTCAACCCACCTCTAAACTTCCCTTTACCGCAAAAAGTTTGGAGAGAGTGGTTTCAGATCAACTTTTGCATGCACTGAAGGCTAACAGCATTTTTGAAACGTTTCAATATGGATTTTGCCAAAAGCATAGTACAGAACCAGCTCTTGTGAGAATTTTAAATGATATTTTAATGCATTCCAAGGGAGGTATGTCTTTTGGTGCTGCTTGATCTTAGTGCAGCCTTTGATAGAGTGGATCACAATATCTTGAGAAACAAGCTTAGTGAATGGGTTGGCATATCAGGGTCTGTGCTAGATTGTTTTTTCTTATTTATGTACTAGAGATTTTTCAGTGTCTATTGGAAATACGATATCTTCTGTGGCTGATCTTACGTATAGGGTACCCCAGGGTTCCATTCGTGGCCCTGTTTTATTTTCACTTTATATGCTTCCTCTTAAAGTTTTAATATCTCTTTCCAATTTTTTGTGGATGATACACAGTTGTATCTTTCTGTAAATTGGAATGGCTTTAGTAGAGTAGCTAATTGAGTACATTGACGCTAAGGACTGGATGAACTGTAACTTTCTTAAGTTAAATGAGGACAAAACAGAGTTTCTGGCTGGTCTTGACAGCATTCCTAGGGATTTGCGGTTGACTCTTGGTTCACTCAGATGAAGAGTTAATGATTTTCCTAGAAACATGGGTGTTGTTTTTGATTCTCATTTACAATTTTCAGTGCATATTAAGATACTTGTTCAGTCATGTTTTTACAACTAAAAATTATTGCAAAGATCAGATGGATTTTGTCTTTTCAGGACTTAGAGAAAATTATTCATGTGTTTGTCTCATCTCATTGGGTCTATTGCAACACTTTATATACTTGCCTTAGTCAAGGAGCTTTGCCAAGACTTTAGTTGGTCCAAAATGCAGCTGTTCAGCTCTTAATGAAAACTGGACGTAGGGAACACATCAGCCCAGTGCTAGCCTCTCTTCACTGGTTGCCACTGAAATTCAAGATTGATTTTAAAGTACTGGTCCTTACTTATAAGGCTTTACATGGTGAAGCGCCTGAATACATTTGTGAACTATTAGTTTCTCCTACAAATACCAGGTCGCTGAGAACCTCTAATAAAGGGCTTCTTGTTGTTCCTAGAACTAATCTGAAGCAAGGGGCTAAACTGTGTGTATGTTTAATTTCTTTTTTATTATTTTAGTTTTTGATTAAATTATTTATTGTGAAACACTTTGTAGCTTTGTCTTAGAAAAGTGCTATATAAATAAAATTTACTTACTATAACAGTTCAGACAGTCTATAACAGTCTATAGAAGTTAGGCAATAAGGTCCAGCAGGAACAGGGACAAAGCAAGTCATTTGAGGCCCCCAGCCAAAGGGAGTTGGCCAAGGTACTGAACATGGTGTGTTCACTGGCTTCAGTGTATTCACACACACTGGGCTACTTTGGGTACTGGGTACTTCAATGAAGCGACGACATGGTTGACCCAAGGTTTTGTATGTCAGAGTCTCTTTGGGTCGTCTCTCCCTTTGTGATCTCCATACTACTATCTCAGTTTGGGCTGTTTCTTAGCCAAGCTGATCCTTACATTCCACAGTCTCTCGCAACTGCACAATCTCTGAAACTGCCTTTGCCTCTGTTGTCTTGTGTACCATTCTCTCTTGCATGAACTCCATTGCCTAGGGATTAAGCCCTGGCTGACTTTCATCTCCTGAAGAGTTGTCTGATGAAAGTTGTTAATGTCTGGCACTGTGGACCCACTGCTCCTCCTCAGAGCTTTCCAACTCTTCCAACACTCCAACAACTGGATGTTTTCTGGAACATGCTCTCCGCGTACTCCTTTGTTG